TCCTGTAGTTTTCTGGTGCCTGTCTAGTTACGTTGTATGTTTCCCAGTTTGCCCTAGCATCCACTTGGAGGGGTGTAACTCCCGCCAGTACATGCAATGACAAGGTGGGCGCGGTTCGGTATGCCGTGACGATAGCTAACAGGAAAAGGTCTCTCCGTCGCCTGTAGATGTCTAATAACTCTGGAGTCCGCATGTCTGTGTCCCCAGATTTCGGCCCCATACAATATCATTGGTTTTATAGCGTTTGAGTATATAAATCTTAGGATTTCTGGTTTACGGCCCCAGTTTCGACCCGCGATATAGAATATCTTATTTGATATGTCTAGGGCTTTCTATCTGGTTCTCCGAACATGCTCGATCCAAAGCGATCCGACATCCAGGGTCACTCCAAGATAGACCAGACTGTCCTCCATCGTCACTGGCATATCGTCGATTTTTATGCGGGGTGGTCGAGTTTTTTTGTGAGGTACAAACATAAGTCTTGTTTTTGTCTTGTTATACGTTAGTTTGTTTGTTTGTTTTTGCCCAGTCTTCGCACGCTCGCCAGATTGCAGTCCATTTGTTTTGTATGTGTTGTAAAGATGTTCCTGTTAATATAAGAATCTGGTCGTCTGCAAAGGCCTGAGCCACGTCGTTGTCGTCTAGTTGTTCTGTCTCGTCTATTGCCTCAAACCATGAGTCCATAAGTAGTGTCCACAGTATTGGTCCGAGGCTGGATCCTTGCGGGCAGCCTCTCCTTTAACATACAGTCCAGAAAACTTTTATTAAAAACAAGAATCTCACATTTTTGGTATTCACCATTAGACGATATTTTTGTGTACGACTGTCGCAAGTGAACTACCTTAAAACATTTTTAAATTTCTCTGTCAAAATTTTCGTCTAACTAATCATAACTAATCATATTAAGGTGGCAGTCTAAGACGAACTGTTCAGAGGTCTGAACCATTACATATTTAATACACGAACCTGCATTCACAAAGTATTTTGCTCAAAATGGGTATTTTATGAACGGTATATCACAATATATCCCCTATAGTAATGTTGCTGGGATTCAAGAAATGGCTTTGAGTTATGCTGCGGCCAGACACAGAGCCACATGGCGCTAGTATCGTTTTGAATTTTGACACGTCTGACATCGGCACGTTCATTGGTTGACGACGAAGTTTTTGACAAGCGAAGCGTGAAGAGTCAGTACTGACAAGTGATAATTTTTTGATTTTTTCTTTTACGAAATTTATACCGTCTATTACTATTAATTTATTTTTATTTCACTTGTTGATTTTAACATTTATATTCAGTATCGGCTATTGAATACTTTCCAATATGCTTGGCTAGCATCAAAGCAAAAGCTGAAGAGTTAACATTAGTGCGATCAGGAAACTAATAATATGAATGTTGCCGTGTGTGCTGTGTAATATGAACACGGTGCGATGCATCTCCACGTAGCTGACTGGTTATGTTCATAGTATTCAATTCCTTCTCGCACTAATGCTAACTTTGTAGTTTCCACATGGACATTAGCAGAACGTATTGTAAAATATTCGATAGCCGACACTGTATTATCACAAACATCTCTTTATAACTAAATGATTTCATTTAATATAGTGTCTTTTTTTTTCAGTAAAATGGATATGGCTAGAGTTATCCTCGACTTTAAAATAAATTAAATAACTTTTATAATTTTTCAAATAAAATATTTTATACATTTTTTTTACCAGAGCCAATTTTTTTCAGAACTAACCTTTATAGGTAAAAAATAAGTGATTTTGAAAAGTATATTACATGTTCTTTTAAATGTGTTGTTAATCCAAACGCTGCTCTCATTGCAATAGCTAACAATAAAAGAATTCGTATTATTTTTAGCTATCAAAATAAAAATAGCGCCTGGATTTACAGCTCGTTTAATGGAAAATGCAATATACTTCTCAATTATTGCCGAATGTATATATTTAAAAATTCCCGCCATTCTGCTATTGGAAATTACGATTTTGGCGGGAAATTTAAATTTCTCCTTAAAATTATATTTGAATTTACCGCCATATCGAGTTAGTTGAGCGGCCAGACACATACGCATTTAGCGCTGCAAACCTAGTGCCATCTTTTTAACAAGTGAGATGCACTACTACAGGGGATATATTATGCGGTATATATCATATTTCAAAATCAATTTGTAATGCCTCAAAATAAAAATATTTTTTAAGATAATTTCAGATAATCATATACGACAGGCTGTAAAAAATTGTTCTTTTAATGCTTACAAGGGAAGTAAGCTGATATAAATATATTATAGTAAAATTTATATGCTTTTATTAAATATGATAAACTTCCTATGATAAACGTCCTGTGAAAACCAGCATGCTGGTGGTCCTCCCATAACGGTAACAACAAACAAAAACATTAAAAAGGTACACGATATCGTACTGCAAGACCGACGAGTACGTATCAGGGATATTGTGGAAAATACTAGCTTATCATATCATGTGATGCACCACATACTGAATAAATAATTAGATATGAAAAAGATGAGTGCAAGATGGGTGCCTCAAATGTTAACCATCGATCAAAATTGGGTATTGACTTGTGAGCGACTTTTGTAAAGGTACCAAGCAAACAAATAAAACTTTCTAAATTACGAGACGCTTTTAAAGTGAAACGCCGAGGAAAGTTAAGGATCGGTGTGCTGTTCATCTGGATAATGCTCCCAGCCATACATCTTGTATTGCCATGGCTGCTATACGCCAAGCAGGCTTTGAATTACTGAAGCACCCACCATATTCGCCAGATCTCGCCCCCAGAGATTACAGGCTGTTCTTCAAATTAAAAGAAAACTTACGTGCGATTTTTTTTCCAGTAATGATGAACTGATGCAAGCTGTAGAGAGGTGGTTTGCAGAGGTAGGACAATTTTTTTCCCGGAGGCTGTTGAGATGTTAAAGCATGGATGGATCAAGTGTATTGATGTAGAGGGAGACTACGTCGAAAAATAAAAAAAATATAACGCCACTGCAGTTTTACTGTAAGAGGGGTGAGGGGTGCAGCATAGGTATCCACCCACGTATGTCATCGTCGTAGTCTCGTTTTGTTTTTTAATCGATTTTATACTTCTTCCTTTTTTTGTATCTCTCCCAAACGTTACCAAGGTTCGACGGATTAGGATGTACAAGGTTATCGACTACGATCTACCTACTTAAGGCATAAAATAATTATGACATCAGTTTCTGACATTGACACTTGACTAACTTCAATTAAAGTCGACATGGAAGTCCTAAAGTGTAATGACGTGAAAGTCAAAACAGAACTGTCATCTGTAATTGGAAAGCCAATAAAAATTAAAAAAAAAAAATGTTGATGGAACTCTTTTATTAGACCTACAAATAGTCTTTGAACTTGCTAATAGAGGTTTACTAATTTATTAATTAGAAAGTTTTTGAATTGCAGAAGTGTTGCCATGGCTGTAAATTATCAAGACATACCGTATAGTGCAGGGCATAGTGGCGCATTCGTTTGCAAAATTGTTTTAATTCGTAATTTTTTTTTTAAATGTTTGAAGGCTTTCCTGATTATAAAAGTGTAAGATAACACTCGATATCTGTTGAAAAATTAATTAAGCAAGAAAAAATGCATTTTTTGCAATGAATTAATTTTTTTTATATTCTTTAGGATATTTCGAATAAAAAAAGTTCTTACGCCCATCATCGTATCTTTAACCCTTTAATTGTTATGAATTTTTTAAAATCCGAAATTGACGAAAATTCTTATTTTCTTGAATTAAATAATATACCTTAAAATTTAAAATGCTATAATTTTAAATTTTTTACCGAATATTCAAACTATAATAAACAAAATAACCTAAATAAATTTTCAAAATAAGTTGAGAATTTAAATTTACAAATTTTCAATATATTATACGACTTTGGGGTCTATTCTGTAACAAATACATTAGAGTACTATCTTATAGAAATCTGTTTAAATAATGACAAAAGTAAATTAACGAATACAAATATACTTTTAAAGGCCGCCAATATTTTTAAAGGCCGTTAAATATAAAGGAATTGTTACAGAATAGACCCCTTTATGTGGTAAAATAAATTTTGAAGTAAACTTATTATGGCTTGCCAGACATGAAAAATATGAGTAACGAACTAATAAAAACGACATTGCGACAGTTTAGTCCCCACTTGAAGTTTTATTAAATAAATAAAAATTAATAAAAACAAATTAAAAAAATAAAACTAAATAAAAATAAATAAAATTAAAAAAATAAGTAAATAAAAATAAATATATAAATAAAATTAAACAAAAATAAATAAAATTAAATAAAAAGATAAAAGTAAAAGAAAATAAATAAAAATAAATTTAATAAAAATAAATAAATTAAATTAAAATAATTCAAAATAAATAAAAATAAATAAAAATTTGGTAAGTCTAGGGGTTATATATATCGACCTCCCTTAGGATAGGGGTAAAGTAGGGGTGGGGGAAATTGGGCAGAGTGAAATGGTTTCAGACGGGGTCTAAAGCCCCGATTTTAGTTTTTTTTTATATCCCTTACCAGTTAGGCGTGGCAATTTAAAAGAAGGGAAGTTGGGGGAATGGGAGAGGGGGAAGTAATTTTTTGTTTCGTTTTTCGCGAACCTCTATTCGTACTTGTAATATTTTCCATGTCGATTCGAAATTAAGGGTGCTTATGTTCGCTAGAGAAGAGAAAATGTTACTGAACCATTTCGTCTTTGCCTGTTTATATATCGATGTACGTTTAAGCCCTCTTCGAGGCTTGCATGCGAAATGGGGCACCTAAATCTGCCAGTCTATAAAGCATCATACTGACATAATTTTACAAAATTTATTTGGAAATATTTATGTATTACTGGACGATATTTTATTTATACTATCTTATTTTTTGTTTTTTTAATCACTACTATTATGTACCTAGTTTATTATTGAATGTATTAGTAAATTGCTAAATAAAGGACCTATATACCTAAAGCATAAGTTACTGACCTGAGGACGTTGGGGATATGATTCTTCCGATAAAATAACAGTAACGACATCGTCCAGCTGTTGAAAGCTTTTGCCGCGACAAATACCCCTGATGTAATCCGGACAAGCTTGGGGAAACATCTCTATTATCCTCAAGACCAAATTTTCGTCATATGGAAGCTGCTTAGGAGATCTTTGGACCTTAGAAGGTCCTGGTTGTACTTGCGCCTCTTCCGGTGCATTTACAACTTCTTCTTGATTTATGAGGTTGATCAGTGTTTCTTTCGGAACAACTAGTCCTGTTGGAGCGACTGGTACCGGTGGATCGACTGGTGGCGGTACCGTTTCTTTAGATCCTTCCGGATGGTGGATTTCCCCGAAATCATTTGGGTATAATGGCGGGATATCGTAAACGTACCATGGATCTTTCGTTTCCTCTTTTACGCTCGACGATGAAGCGCTGGCTTGATCTGAAAGAAGAAAATCGGTAAATTGCGATTTCATGTTCTAGCCCACTTTGTTCAATTTCAAAATATGCATAGATTCTCGGCCTAGGACATTCGGGCGCAGGGACAATGGGGCGCGGGTACAATCGGGGGCGGCCGTTCGAAATTATAAAATTTGATAAAAATGTCGATTGTTTTTAAACGGATAACATGGGACACGTCACTTGTCAAGCAAAATTCGCGTTCTTTTTACAACTTAGCTTAGATCAGAATCTAAATTTTAGTTAGTCAAGTATACCTATAAAAAGAAAACGACTATTATTTTGTGCTATTGTGGAATATTTTTCGATTTTCTCTCAACTTCTCGCGTTAGAGTTTAGAATATTATGTATCCCTCGTATCTACATGCAATTGTTAAAATTATAAATGAATGCTGATTTTGTTTAGTCTCGGAAGTAATTGTGTAGTATTTAGACTCCAGCCTTAAGTTGTAAACTACCGTTGTCCCTCCGGTCTTTCAGTCTGTAATGCAAATTTTCCTCTTAAGTAAATAAATAGGACACACTATACTAGTCCATGGTTCAACAGTGTTTTGTGGGAAAACAGAATATTTATATCTTGATTTTTCGCTCCAAAGGTAAGTTGGTTTTGTATATTGTCACGGAATACCCGGAAGGAACACTTGGTAAATAATCATAAGTACGCGCATCTTTGTCGCGCAACCCTATTCGCCATGATAATATGTTTACTTTGCGACGGTGTCAAGCTTTAGTTCAATTTGTGTTGCCGGTTACTTCGTTTCCCAGATTCTTAGATTTTGTGTGTTTGTGTTTCGGTATTTTGCTTGAAGATTTTTATAAACAATTATAATGGATTCGTTGCAAAAAAAAGGTGGTGGTGCGTGTGCTGCAGAAAATTGTAGAAACAATTATAGAAATTGTAAATGCAGTTTTTTTTAGTTTTCCATCTAATATAAATAGGTAAGTTCTGTTTAACGTATATTTTTATCGAGACCGATTTGTGTATTTTTTCTTTCTTTGTTCATAAATATTTTGCGTTAAAAAACATAACTACGCACAACAAGTTAGAAATTCATTTTTTAATGTTTTATTTACTATCATTTTTAGCTAATTGTTAATTTCTGTTTCTCCAGTTTCGTAATAACAAAAAATCTGCGCTAGCTTTCCTGGCGTCACTTGTAATATTAGCTAAAACATGTTCATAAATAGGCACTTGTTGAGTATTATTTTTATTGCTCTCATCATTTTGAATTGCATTAATCGTGAATATAGTATATTAAAGTGTACGTGGACAGAGCAAATAATAATAGCCGTCCCTTTTCCTGGATAAACCTAGCTTTTGGGGTTAAAATTTACTCGTAAGGGGATTATTTAGGGAGATTAATATTATATTATTATAATAAGGTCTTGTTTTCCAAGAATATTTTACATTATTTTTTTGTACACTTTAAAATTATATGGTATTATTACTAAAAAATTGAAATAGGAACTAATGTAAAATTGTTGAATTCCTGATGTGACATCAGTATATTTTTCGTTGCGACGGAAATCAAAAATTAATTTGCAATCTGTCACATAAAATTAATTGTCATCACAGTTGTTAGTGGTTGTATATTGCTTAATATTAAGTTTTGACATAAATAGTAAAGCAGAATTGCGGTTAATAATGTAAACCTGGATGTACCACATTCATTTAATAACTTAACATTGCTAAATATTTGAATAAACCTTTTGAAATGTTTGTTAGTAATATTTTATTTGACTATACAAAGTACGTCTGTCAGTTCAATAATTAAAAAATGGACATTTAGACTTCACGTTTCTCAGTTTGTGGATGTTGCTATGGTAACTTTAAAACGCGCGTTTTTTAACGTTGAATTTTAAAACGCCCGTTTTTCAACGTTGAATTTAAACACGCTGAATTGTACTTTAAATAAGCAAAATATTCCTTATCAATAATTATTAAAATGTAAATTACTAAAACAAAATCAGTTCTTTTCAGAACTACAGCATATTTATTATGTGATAGAATCTCGTGGTCGGTAGTGGGATAAACAAAAAATAAGTAAACTCTGCGCGGGCGGTAGTGGCACTCGCGCAGGTAGTTTTTGGTCGCGGTCGGTAATGGGATATAATGTAATGGGATACAGGGATATAGCCTGTTTTGGCATAAGATATTGTTGATTTCTCGGAAAACCTTATTCTTGATAAACGCGTCTGCATCACCCAAATTTATTGTATTTTCTTTTTTTACCTTTGAAGATTGTATTATATTTTGAATATTTATTTGCTTTAATTCTGTGTTTCCCTACAGTTTCAATGTTTATTTCAGCTCGTGATTCGACGCACTCTTCTTTTGCAAATGCCACACCTTCGAATTCGTATAGAAGGAAAGATTCTACTTCCCTGGAATTGTTTTCTCTTACGGAGAGTACCCAGACACCTACTTTTCTGTCAGCCAGGACCCCAAGGAAATATAAATTGAGAAAATCAATCAAAGAACTTCGTAATTAAAATTTTTATTTAAAAAAGAAGCCAGAAGAGTGTGAAAAGAAACAAAAAAGTTTAGAGAACAATGCATTGGAAAATTTAACGTTGGGCGGATTTAATGAATTGGTGAAAAAATTTTGTTCAAATGAAGCATTAGCTAATTTTATTATTGTTCAAGTTAGGGAACGTAAAAAAAAACCAAAAGGAAGAAGATATACAGATATTTTTAAAAATGAATGTTTGACTCTATATTTTATATCGCCAAAACTGTATAAAACAAAATTATCCGATATGTTCTTCTTGCCTTCATCTTAGCAGTTGTTACGTCACGTACAACATATTAAAATTAGAACTGGATTAAATAGCTATGTTTTCGATATTTTACAAACTAAAACGCAAAATTTCAGCACCCGAAATAAAATGTGTATGTTGTGTGTAGACAAAATGTCTATCAAATCAAACTCATTTTATAACATATGTTCTGATGAAATAATTGGTGAAAATCAGAAATCGTTTAAACCAGCGTTAAATGTCACCGTATTTATGGTAAGGGGATAAAAAATGGAAGCAGCCCATATGTTTTTATTTTCACCAGTCAACTTGTCCAGCTACCAACTTATTTAATTTTGTTTTTTAAATTAGTCGCAAACTATTTGAAATAAGACTTACAGTTTGTGTTCTAGTAAGCGATATGGGATTCAACAATGTAAAATTGGCGAAATTATTAGGCGTTACCATAGAACACCCATATTTTATTATTGATAATAGAAAAATTGTATACTGTTTTTATCCACCACACCCGTTAAAAGCGACAAGGAATAATTTAAGAAATCATATATTTTTACTTTTAAAAAACCCTTATGTGTGGATCTCTTGAATTCTGGTGCAGAGAATTGCGAAGGTGACACAGACAAAATGTTATTAAGAATCGCAGATATACCAAAGGTTTCTACTGAAAATATCGTTCCGCAGGTTAACGAAACACCAACAATATATCGGGATTATCAGAACTCCGATACCTTAGAAAAAAACTTTGTTAGGTGTGTCTGTGGTTACTTAATAAAAAAAATGTTTAAAAGTTCATAGCTATGAAATTTGTGAAGAATATTCAAAAATGCACACAGATCTGGATGAAGAAAGTCTTTTTTGTTTTTATAAAGCTTATCAGACGAGAAATTTAGCTATATTTGGAAATTTAAAAATGCCACCTAATCAGTTCGTTTTTTTTATAGCCTCACTGGAAGTCGAATTCCAAAATAATTTTGGTAAATTAGCTATAAATAATTCTATTCTTCAGAACCTATTAATCTGTTTTAAAAAATATTCATTAAATCATTCCTGTCCCAAATTTCCTTTTATTTATTTATTGAAATTATACGCTAGGTTAAAAATATTTTATGGGCTAAAATATGCTAACAGAAATTTTAAAACAAATGCTAGCACAGTTTTAAAAGGTAAGAAAAAATTTAAAATGATTGTATGGAATCACCAATAATAAAAAAAAATAATAATAATAATATGTACACTTTTCTTATATTTATGCTTATGTACTCATAATATGTTTATTATAATTAAAATTACTATTTTTCAAATAAATTGTTTTATTATTTTTAAGTTAAGCATACCTTAGTAACCTAATCCACCCCTGCCCAGCCCATAGGCCTGAATGCTACTCTGTATTTATGCTTACAATGTTGATTTATGGTTTTAAACATAGGCTTAAATACATCAAAGGCGGCACGGCCCAGTGTCCCTTCCGCTTGTTAGTTATTTCGTGATATTGTGTAGAACGTCATAGGCGTGCGTAACAAAAACAAATAAAAATTTCTTTCAAGAAATAAAAAAACGGCATCTACAGTTAATTATTTGTTGCTTTAATAGTTAATGATTTGCTTGAATTGTTGTAACAAAGCTGACGTCTTAAGCGGAAAGACGTACTTAAGTCATTACAATGCATTTTTGAAATATTAGTTATTACTGAAAATATATCTGCACTGTTTAATTTTTAGATATTTTTTACGAAAATAAACTATATTACCACAAAAACAAATAAATGGATGGAGTCATAGAACAAAGAACGAAGCGACAAATTTCAAAATTCGCGGTCTATTAGGGGAACACACCCTAATATGTATATGCCTAATATAGGAATGCATCTTTTAGAAGGCCAAACTACGCCTAGGGCTATCTAGTTACATTGGATCTAAGGTCTGTATAGACACTAGTTCATGCGATGGAGTGCGTTTAGAAACCACGCACGGCGCGTCTGGACCACATACTTATAATAGGGCCAGACGCGCCATGCGAGGTTTCTAAACGCACTCTTGTTTTCGAACCACTCATAAGAGCACGTTTATGTGAAAATTGTAACTTACCACGAAATTAATATTTCGAGAGGCAAATATCTAGTAAGCCGAGTGTTAGGAAGTTATGATAATGATAATTTCACTCAGATATGTACAAATTTACAAAGGATACATAAACAAAACCTCATTCTAACCTAAAGATCAATCA